TGGTTTAAAATGACCCTTTATGATAACAATAAAATTGAAAGAGATGTTCTTTTTGAAGGGACAATTTCAAAAGTTTTAGAGCATAAAAAAGGAGTTATCATGCGATAGAGATATCTATAAAGCATCAACTTTTCTATTTGTATCATTTCAATTTCTTCCAAAGCATATCCATTTTATTTCAATTTCTTTTTATAATTTAAATTGTTATTATAAGCAATTAAATTATTAATTCTTTTTATTAATTCTTATTTCTTTTTTCATTTATTTTCATTAAAATACTTTTTAAAATTTAATTAAAATAATCGAAACAACGATAATAATGAAAAACATGCAAGAAAAGAAATTTAGCAAATAAACAGTACAATAATTGATGTAAAAATAAGCTGCCAAATGTAAAATTGATAAATGAAACAAGTAAATAGTTAATCGATAAAGAAGAGAATAAATGAAAAGCCAATTAACTAAATTAAATGAACTTATGCGTGTATAAGTAAACGATCAATATAATAAATGGTTGAAAAATTGAACAGATGAATAGATGATATGAATTGGTGGACAAAGTTTATTCTTATTAATACTATCTTATCAGCTAAAAATATCAGTTTTTTGCAGGGTGAAGAAAAAACAAGCGGTCGTCACTTGGAGCGCTTACCACCAATTGATGATTTAGCATTCGGTGGTCGAGATTCATTTTCGTCACCGGATGATCTCTCTGATGGGGGCTCATTTGCTGATAGTCCACCTTCGTCGACATCATCTGAATCAAACGATTATCGATCATCTAGTGAATCAGAACAACGTCGAGAATCTGCTAATTTATGCCCTAGCCGTAGCTCAGGTATGAAAAAGTAACATTTAGTATATATCAAATTCAATCGTTGCCAAATCTTTTTGCCTTCTTTTTTATGTAATCTAAAAGCAAAGATAGAGATTTCAGTCACAAATAGCTTATCCTAAGAAATGTATACAAAATAAATAACCAAATTATCGAAATTTTTAACTATCAGTAATAAGAATACACTTTACAATTCGACAAATTTCAGATTTAGAATTTTTTGTTACACAATAATTGTATTTACAGGAACAAATCAGCTAGGCCGTATTTATAGTCCTGGATTACCCCTGTCGATGAGTGAACGAGAACAAATTGTTGGCCTTTATAAGAGTGGCTGGAAAATTTGTGATATATCGAAGCGACTTTGTATTACACACAGTTGTGTATCGAAAATTTTAAATCGGTGCCTTTTTTTGTACTTCAAAGTGATTTAAATAAAATTATATATGAAGATAATAAAAGCCTAGCCAAGTCCCTAATAACGGGGTCACATTTAATTCTTTTTTAAAATTTTAAAAACTTCAGCATAACAAAAAGTCAAATTTTCTTTCCTTTTTTCCTACTTTAGAAAACTTTTCCTATTTTTCTCTTTTCCAGATACAGGACAACAGGATCAGTAAAGCCAAAAGATGCTAAAGAAGGTCGAACCGAATCACCATTGGTAATTGCCATTCGGGATTACAGAATGCGATTGGGTATGAGTCGACAGGCAGAAATTCGGGAGCAGTTAATTGCTGACGGCATTTGCAGCCGAGAAAATGCTCCGTCGCGATCATCAATTAATCAGTAAGTTCATTTTCACAGATATTTTCCAAACACCTCGATAAGTTGAGCATTAAGTAAGCATATTTGTTATCAGAAACTCGAAAACCTTCCGACATGTAATTGTTGCATTTCAAAACGTAATGGACGAGAGGATAATGTAATGGTATCGTGCGGATGTCGCATACGTTGAGATTGATATTTCGCATCTGTCATCAGCAAAACGTGTTGTAAAAAGTGGAAATAAATAAAGAAATTGGAAATTAGTACTTTCAGCATATTGAGGACAAAATTGGATATGAAGAAGAAGAGGAAACCCACTTAAATATTGGAGCAGTGTTCTCTCTCTCTATTTCTCAATTAGCAGAAAACAGAAATATCTATGAATAGAAAAGAATAATTTATAATTTCTACGTCAGCAGAAACACGTGCTTCACTGATTATTAACAGGATCACGTACGTCATTGCTTACCATAATTTTTATCACCTCGCCAGTAAGCTTATTCAAAACTGCTTTTTATCTTGCATTGCGACATCCGATATGGTTATAGTTATTCATCATTTTCACTTTTACACTCTTCTGCCGTTTTTTCGATGCTACCTGCTACCTTATCACCGTCTCTCTTTTTTCTGTGATAAATTGTCGTAATATATGTTTACGAAATATTTTGATGAATTTTGTTTTTCACTATTAAATAATGTACTTCAATTGAAAATATTTAATTTATGCAAGAAATAAAATAGTTGATAAAATCGTTTAAATAAACATTTTTTTTAGTTCAAAAAATGCCAAGCTTTTTTTTTAATTATAATATCAATCTACTCTACCTGAAACAATCTGCTTCTCCTTCTTCTTTTTTTTAAGCCTTAATGACTTCCACCTGCACTTTTTCCAACGATTTATTAACTAGGCCTATAACAACATGTATATATTGTATCTGGTATCTGGTGTAATTTTGCGTAATTGTAAAGTTATTACTGGTCTTTCGGAAGCTTCTCGTTCAAAAGGTTTCAATGAAGGAAACAGAAAGAATTGAAAGAATTGAATTTTTTTGAATCATTTCAACTAGCTCATCAATAAATATGGAATCATTAACGAGATGCTTTAATGACAGCTGCACAAATGGTCACGCAGCTTTTTGATGCATTGCACTATTTACCGTTAAGTTTAATTATATTTGCTAAGTGAAAGGTGACACATTGAGAATGAAACAAGGATGTCATCAGAGATTTGAAAAAAATAAGCAACGAAGGGAATTAAGATTCGTCATGAGATGAACGAATTTGAATGTAACGGGAAAAATCACTCTCAACGAATGTCTGATAATTCAATGTAGCAATTTCTTTTCAATTTTCAATTTGAATTTCAAGAGAAAGATAATCTATGTATATGTGAAGAAGTTGATGTTTGTAAAAAATCTATATTGCATTAGAAAATAAAGTTTCGAAAAAAATTTAATCATTCGAAAAAACTCATAGAAACAAAATTGATGTAAAATTTGGCAGAAGGTATTAAATTTGAGAGAGATTAAAAAATCATACAGAAACTTAAATTTTGGAATTAGAAAATTTTTTTTCGAAATACACGCTCAAAGCCTGTTAATAATATGTTAACGTTTATAATTAGTATCTGTTTTGAATATCACTATATTGCATTTATTATAATACCTAATTTTCATTACTAATGATCATTAAACGATTTTTGTAATGGGAAAAGTGAGCATTGGATCGAGGTTTCTCAAAAAATAGGCCTCAAAATTTTTTAAATTCTTAACAAAATTAAGCAGATTGTAAGTAGTGGAAAAAAAATGTTGATATAATTTCTCGATTTACCACCCTACATGAAAATTTCTGAATACTAAAATTTCTGAAATTATCGTATTTCAAAGATGACATTGTTCTCATTTCCATATGTTTGCTGTTATAATAAATTTGTATGTTTGATCTCGACTCTTCACTGTTTTATATTTATGCGCACCTTTGCAATTCAAACTGCGAACTTTTTCTCAATCTATGCTTAATTATTAAAATATATTTTAAAATTAAAAAAATACACCTTCAGTTTTATGTTTTAATTAAGCTTGCAATGTCTTGCCTTAATAAGAACAATGATATGAGAAACAAAAAGACTTAGTTACACAACAGAATTTAATATTTTCGCAAAATTTGAAGAAGCTATTTGCAATGAATCTGAATCCACAAAATGAGCTATAGATTCAGATTATTTTTTTGGGAATGATTGAAATCAATTTTGAGTAATATTAAATGTTTCCATTAGAATTACTTTTATAATTCATTTTCATTTTTGATATTATCATTGTTACTTATCATTGAAGGAAATAACTCGGTTATGCTCTGTTTTATTATTCCTAGCTTTCAATTACTCTGTATCTGTTAACAAATAAAGGTATCATGGAAAACGTATCAATTGACTTTGCATGAAACTTCCTTTGGGAATAAATTTTGCAAAGAAACAACGAATCAATCAATACATAAAAGTCTTAAGACTGGTGAGTTGGAAGGATAAAAACGGTTTCTATTTATTTGGCATACAATGAGAGCATAAGGATAGTTTTTTGATAGAAGTTTAAGAGACGAGCCTTATTCGAAATTTTAGATCGTCTCTAAATAAAACTCAATTTCGGAATATTTCTTGTAATCTTTCTTCCTATCATTGCAGCATTCTCAACCTGACTATAAGAAAACTGTAACCAAATCGGCTGGAAATACTGCCGTGAAATTGAACAAACCAAGTTGTATATCTATCGATAGGGCCTTGTATTTATTTATTTTTTTATCTGAGAAAAGGTCGAATTTGAAAATGTGGTAATTGGTAAATACTTCTTGAAGGATTTCTGAACAGCTCTCGTCTGCAAAATAATTGAATGATAAAGAAAAGCCATGATTAGGCACTGATGTCATAGTAGGCCCAGTCTTATTATTTCCACCCACCGAATTGCAAGGCTTGGTCTTGCGACGAAAACTTGTCGTTTAAAATTTAAATTTGGTTGCTGGTCGGCGTATACTGTTCGTCACTTGTAGTTTTCTTCAAGGAGGATGGGGTTTGACGTATGTATTTCTATTAGATATCCGGTGTAAGATTCGCGACTTTCCGCTACATCATGATAAGAGGGAAATGCTTCCATCGGACACTGATATGAAGCATTAATTGTTGATTAATCTCTTTACTCTGCAGAGACTCATTATTGGATTCACGCATTTTGCACTTTTCCAGTTCAGTGAATTGTAACTTTTAAAAAAACAAAAGAGGAATGCGAAATAAAAGAGAAAATAGCTTTCTTTTTATCAATCTGATTTTAGCAAAATTTGTCATTTAGAGAAATATTTAAGGAGTGGGTGGTTGGCTTTATTTCTTCGATTTTATTTGAGTGGGTGATTGTCGATGGATGGCGATGGGAGTGTACTTAGCTCGGAGGTTGCCGCAAGTCTTCTGAGTTTGGAAGTAACAGAAAATTTCACAACCGATAGTAAGTTATCACTTATTGCCATCTCGAAGAAATGGACTTTTCTGACTGAAATTTAAATCATGTCTAAAAAGAAACATTCAAGATCAGTTTAAAATTTGTTTGGATATAAGTTGCAACCTGCAATATAACAGAAGTTTAATATAACTTGAGTGAAGCATATACAATCAAATAGATGAATATATGCATCAGTAGATAAATCAACAAATTGACTGTGTAATTAAATAAATAATGAATGACGTGCAAGTAAATAAAGAAAAGAATAATTGTGAAAGCGTCTATCGCTAATTATTGCGAAAAGTTTGTGTAAATTGTAACCTTCCATTGCTGCTTCCTAGCAGACTAGAACCAGGAATTATTTAATAAAAGAAGATTCATCAATGACTGTACTGTGAACTTTATTTAAAGGGCTTTCGTATATTTATAGAGTTATATATCACTATGTTAAATAATTAGGCACTGTAATTATTATATTTGTCAAAACACGAATATGGAAGTAAATGAGATTACATTTTAAAGCACCGAACAGAAATTTTTGCAGGAGAAAACGCGATTGCTCGGTCAGCGTCGCAAGTTAGAAGAGTGAATCGAGTTTGCGTTGTGGGAGTGGCTAGGAGTAATACAGAAGTTAGAGATTTGTTAAAGGTATCTTTTTATTTTGCTTTTTGGAATCAAGTTTATGTAGTAATTTTATTTAATTCTGTCTTATAGTAATATCTACAAATCTTAAATTGGTGCTCTGCGTTGATTATTTAATTTAGTCTTATGATTGTTTTTGTAGAATCATTTCGGTGTCGAACTGTTAGAAAGCGAAGATGGCTATGAGTTCACAAAAGATGCTGATATTACTTTCTTATGCAGTGAATTCATTGATTGCCGTTGGTTCAAATATCTTAATTCTTGTCAGAAACCAATTATTGGCCCAGCGATTATCCGAAAACGTGCCGTAGATGGCAAAGTACTACCAATTAATTGCTTGACTGATAATCCTTTCCCGTAAAACTATCACTTATTTTTCAGCGCTTTAATTTAGAAACGACTGTCTTATTGATAAATAAGTGCTCTGCATTGATTATTTAATTTAGTCTTATGATTGTTTTTGTAGAATCATTTCGGTGTCGAACTGTTAGAAAGCGAAGATGGCTATGAGTTCACAAAAGATGCTGATATTAAAAAGCATCCATCCAGATTTTTTTTCGCTTTTAAAGTATAGAAAATTGATAGCAAATGAAATTTTAAAATATAAAACTAATGTTTTGAAGAAGCTTTATGTGCCGTTTGGTGGATTCTACATTTACTTATGCTTTTCTTTTGTTTAGATACATGTTTTATTTCAGCCTTTATTGGTACCTCGCCCAAACCGCCCACTTTATACAGACAGTATGTCCGGTGTGCGAATTGCTTTGTCGGGACTTCCCACCAAAAATTGTCGGGAAGCTGTCGATCTCGTACATTTCATGGGTGGTAGCGCTCAACGAGTATTTTCTGCTTCTACCACCCACTTAATTACTGATGCTGCTAAAGGCAAAACATATAGGGTATTTTTTCAATAATTTCAGTAGTTTGATAGGTGAAATTAATTGCTTCGATTAAGTGAAACTGATGTATTTTTAAAAATGGAACAAATTAAAATATCAGGGCATATTATTACAGATGGCAGTGTCAATTGGATGTCGTGTAATGCATTTAGAATGGTTGCGAGCTGCATGGGCTGCGAGAGATTCTATTCAGATCAACGTCACTACCATTAATTTTGTTCGTTGATTTTTTTATAACATCCTTTTCTAGATTCGTTTAGAAGTTTATGGAAGAAATATTTGGATTTTGTTCTTTATAGTTTTAGGAATTTTGAGCTTTTTTCAGTTAAATCAATACATGGTTGAACCATTTTGTGGATTGTCATTATGGTTTATTGCCTACGACGAAAAAGATCTAACTGAAATGAAAGAGAAAACCGTTGAAAATAGTATGTTTTTCAGTTTTGACATGTATTATATCTTTTATTGCGAATTTCATGACTTGCGAATTTCATGACTTGCAGACTTATTAGTCTGATTTTTCGTCAGAAGGTTGGATATTTAAAAAAAGTGTATTCAAAAAAAGCAAATTGTAAATCACATCGCAAGTGTCTGACTCAGCTAATCAGAAAGGAATGCAAAAGATGGTGGTAAGGTTTGCTGATAAGTTATATGCTTCCAAACTCATTTATATGAGAGATTCAAAAAAATATTTTCGAATGTTGCATGCATTACAGAATGCTATCAGGATTTTTTTCTTTTGTATATGTGTTTTAGAAGGGAAAGTAGCTGAAAATCAGAAACAAGCAACTCATATTGTGATTTCTACATCATTGGATGCTAAAGTTGAAGGATGTGATCCAAAACAGCATCTAGTGTCCGGCGAAGTTTGTCTTCAAAATTTATTTTGATTTGTTATGGATGTGAAGGATTGTTTTCCACAAAATTATGCGATTTACAGTGGTTTTGGATCTCTGTACAGTTGAACTGTTGTGCCAATGAAACTATCTATAAGTGGAAGGGCCAACGGACCAAGCACAGCTCTATTCTCTCACCAAATACCGTTGAATTAACTGCTAGCAAGTCGGTATCTAAGTAAGCATTCATCATTTTCTATTGTGAAGAATTTTTCCCATTCGAAAATTCTGTTATTTAATGGTATAATAATTAACAAATAATTTTCAGGTCATCCATGGAAGTTCTTGATAGCAGTAATGGTTCAGCATTACCAGGTTTGCTCATCGCTTGTTACATTTTATAACAACTTTGATTTCTGTGAATTTGAAAACCGACGACAGAACTTTAAGTGATCTTATGGTAGTCATCCTAATTCTATGATATGTCAGAAGTTTATTGTTGTTGCTTTTAGTGTTCATGTAGAAAATCACAAATATTAAGTATCTTACTAGTTTCAGATTACTCAGAACATTTGCTATCAACGGATGATTCTGAGATTATGAATACCTCTCCGCGAAGACTCGATAAAAGATATGCTGTGTGTAAAGAAATGCTTGAAACTGAGGAAAATTACTTAAGAGCATTGAAAATTGTTGTACAGGTATCTTCTATCTTTATCGTTATTACAACTACATTTAAATAAGGTAGCCATAAACTTGTCAAATTCCATATTATTTACAGTTAACTTGGTGAAATTTTTCATAAACGATTTAATCACCATTAACATAAATTCACATTGAGCAATAATGATATAATTTGGATGTGATTATATTTCCATATTCTTCACCAAACTTATAGATTTAAATAGTTAATTGTGTGGGTTTGAATGGAAGTGTTTGTAGATTTGACTAATATTATATGTTTTTATTTTCATTTCTTCCACATTCGTTCTTTCGAATTTCGTTTTTTTCCTACGCTTTTTCTGTTTCTTCTCAACAAAAATTTTAGTTTTCTGATCTGTTTTAAATATTATTGCAGGTGTTCAAAGAACCTCTTGAAGAGCAGTTACCGAATCTGGATAGTGGTCTTCTCACAAAAGCTGAAATAAGCCAAATATTTGCCAAAGTACCTCCATTAATCGATGTTCACGAGAATATTTGTCGCACACTTCAAAGCTATATAATACACTGGATGAATGAACGTTTGATTGGAAAGGTTTGGTCTTTTTCGCTTTATTTCATTGCTTTTTATTCTAGATTGATCTATCTGGATAATGCAGCGGAGCAATTAACATTTGACTTGTCATCTAGTCATCACTGCCAGTATTTAACGAAGTTTGTAATTAACATTTTTATACTCCTTGGAAAGGAATACGAAGTGAAAATATCTAATTTATTCAGTATTTCTTACTGCTATTACTGACACTACTCTCAATTTGAATTGCAGAGAGCAGCATGCAGTAATAGCACTAAAAAATGAATTAGAAATTTTCATTGGTGATAATTATTATGGGCAAATGCAGCAATAATGTGACATTCTCAAATAATTTTTCGAATACTTATGCTAAACTTCTCTTTATTGCTGATCGCACATACACCTCTCTTCATAGGTCTGGCTGGATCATGCTGCTGAATTGACGCCAGTATATAAAGCATTCATCAACAATTATGATACAGCGATTCAGACATTGAATGAATGTGATCAAACTAAACCAAAATTCCATGCATTTTTAAAGGTTTTATAATAGTTATAATTGAGGTTCACAACAAATACTTCTCAATATGGTTTAAGTTAGCCCTTGAATCACATAAAATTATGAGGTAGAAATAGAGAGAAAGGTATATTGTTTTACATACTTATACTAAATAAAAACTACCAAATTTGTTTCCTATCATTAATCAAGTATTCCATTCGAAATTCCTGAAATTTGAATTTTAAGGCTGCGGAAAGTCGCCTGGAGTGTCAGCGGAACAGTTTACCTGATTTATTAGTACGCCCGGTGCAACGCTTACACTCAGTAGTTTTACTTCTAAAAGGTGAATTCTGTCCTATACTTTTTATTGTCTAGTACACATTATTGTGGCAGAAGGCTTTTCCCTAAATCTTCATTTTTTACTTCCAAAATTTCGTATTCTTTGGCTCTTACAAAATTTTTGCGCGCTGATTGAAGGATAATTATCTTGCAGCTATTTTGGAAAAAACGGATCGTAAAAATCCGGATAATGCCTATTTGATTAAAGCGAAGCGAGCCGTAGAAGCAGCTCTCACGTAATATTTAATTCATTGAAAGTGTTTCTCTTTGCAGTCTTGCTGAGACATATTTAAAAAAAGATGTGAAATTTTGCTCACTTACACACAAATAATTCTTACAAATTGAATGCACATTTTTTGCAGGGAAGCAAATGAATCTCGCAGGCAAACTGATTCTTATGCAATGATCTTCAAGTTATCTAGTGAAATTGAACGATGTCCTGTTAGTTTGTTACGATAATGATGTCAGAAATAAACATGAGATTTTAGGTTTCATTTAAAGGAGAGGGAAAATCTACATTCGAATTAGAGAAGATTTTTGCGAGATGTTTCAAAATCTGTTGTTGATCATCAGATTTGCAATGTAATATTGTAACAATTAAAAATTTTGGCATATAATGGAATTGAAAAGCCCTTCGGTCAAAACTGCATGAAATTCATAGAGTCGAATGTTTTTTTGGAGCAGTAACATATGCTTCACGAAGTTCAATTTGTTGTCACAGTTAGAAAATATGATAGTGCTAGAACGGTTTCAGGCTGATATATTATCAAGCGCTCGGACGTTAAAAACCGAACTGCATGTTTTGTCGTTGGGAGGTGAGGATGAGTGGGCAAGAACTCGGAATAAGCGAATGGCCATATTTTTATTTAATGATTTGATAGAAATTGTTAAGGTAGTTTTTTAGTAGTTTTATTCTAAAATACAGATTCATGAGAAATTTTGAAGCTATTAATATCAAAATTTTTACTTTTTCAAATTAAAGAAGGTATTTTCTAGAACTTGAAGTGGAGAAGCAATAATAAACATTGAGTGCAATTTTTATTGTTCTTTTAAGGTACGAACAGGAAATGATAATAGCAGCACTCCAACACGCTGCAGTTTCTCAACTTATTCCCTAACGAAACAACTGTCCTTTTCTGTGTTGCGACATGACAAGAAAAAATATAAGCATCATCAACAGTATATGCTTGCCTCGATTCGTAGAATACAAAGTCTTGCACACGCTGGTATATGTTTAATCTTTCCATATAAATAGAAATTGGAAATGTTTTACTGATTCATTTTTTAATTATCCATATCAAATCCGAATAAGTTCTGTAAAACGGCAGGAAAGTTTAGATGTAAGTGGTGTGTTCGTCCTGTCATTTCGAGTTAGCCAAGGCGAAGATTTTTGGGTGGCACAATGCTTAGAAAATCAGGAAGGAGAACTGGAAAAGTTCTTACGCGAAGTTGCAGATCAGGCAAATTTTTTTCTTTTTTTAATTTAATTTAAAAATTTTTGAGATTTCTTTCTTAAAATTTGTCTATTCCTTTGATAATGGCTTAAGTGGAAGCTATATTACATACAATTAATTGATTTTCCATTTTTTAATTGCAGGTGTACAAATTGGTAGGAAGGAATACACTGGTGGAGAAAGTGGACTTCGACGAAGATCCCTCATTATTAGGTGTCAAGGAAAATATAGTAACTATCAAGAAAGCATTAAATCATGCGTAAGCAATTATTGTCCAAATTAAAATTTCACACATGCATAACAAAAGAC